TAATAATCAAAGCAAAATATATTTAAAAAATCTATTGTCCACCACTATGTGTTCATTTTCTTTCAGTTTTTACTATTAAACATGCACATGCATATATAATTACCCTAGTTTTTTTTAAGATAAATTGTACCATATTATACCAACTTTTTTCCCCCTGGCTTTTCCCATTGAAAAGTGTTTCCCTGAAATCTATTCCTAGAATATATATTTCACATTAATTTTTATAGCTTCATGGTAATCCATTGAGTGGCAGTATCATGTAAGTCAATCAGATCCCCAGTGATGTACATCTAGATTTCTGTACAGATACTCCTTCAATGCATCATCTAATACAGAAAACTTTTTTTGTTTTTGCAGGATATCTGTCTGTAAGACAGATTCAAGAAAGTGAGCAAGTGAGATATTGCTGGGTCAAAAGATAATTGCTATGTAATTTTGCCAGGTATTTCCCCATTATTTTCTATAGAGATTGTTCCATGTAGCATTCTCTCTGAAGAGAAATGAAAGTGCCTCTTTTTCTACAGTCTTGCTATAACTGAGTATGTATTTTGATTTTGAACCAAAGGAATAATACACTCTTTTGGTGTAGTTTTAACTTGCATATTTTCTTATTCTGAGCAAGATTGAATACTTATTCACATGGGTGAAGCCATTTGAATTTCTTATTTTTGTGAATTGACTGCTAATTTCTATAAAATTTTCATTTTATAGGCTTATTGTCCATCTTTTCTTTTCGGTTCAGTTCAGTTCAGCCGCTCAGTCGTGTCTGACTCTTTGTGACCCCGTGAATCACAGCACGCCAGATCTCCCTGTCCGTCATCAATTCCTGGAGTTTACCCAAACTCATGTCCATTGAGTCGGTAATGCCATCCAGCCATCTCATCCTCTGTCATCCCCTTCTCCTCCTGCCCCCAATCTCTCCCAGCATCAGGGTCTTTTCCAATGAGTCAACTCTTCTCATGAGGTGGCCAAAGTATTGGAGTTTCAGCTTCAGCATCAGTCCTTCCAATGAACACCCAGGACTGATCTCCTTTAGGATGGACTGGTTGGATCTCCTTGCAGTCCAAGGGACTCTCAAGAGTCTTC